AAATCTTTACGGGAGCAGAATGCTTCATCTTTCTCCCGTGGAACTGCTGGTAGTTTCGAACTGCTGACCTTGCAGTTGGCAGCCTGACTCGTAACCACTACGCTATCAGAGCTCCTTTCATCTATGTGACTCCTAGGGAAAATGTTCTTCCTCTAGCATGAAAGCTATCTGTAGGTATGGACTGCTGCCCAGTTCAACACATTGATTTGTAAATACTCTCCTGCTGCATCTGATAAAGAGTTTATTAGATAGGTGTTGTAAGATTTCAAGTAAGGATGTTTATCAAGAAAAGAAGTGAGAGAGTGATCTTATTTAGTAAGAAAATGTTTATAAACTAAAAGAATGAAAAACAACTGGGTTATTCAACATAGTAAGCAAATAAAAGCTACAAATGATTTTTAGAATCTTCCCTAAGAATCATTCTAGGAAGATAGTCGGAATGTCAGTGTAGAATGGGGTAAGTGAATTCTGGTACACCCACAATGGAATACTATGCAATACTGAAGAATGACAGTGAGTCAGCAGAACACTTTGTAACGTGGATGAACCTGGAGGACATTATGCTGAGTGAAACTAGTCAGTCACAAAAGGACAAATACTGTAGGAGACCTCTATTGTAAAGAAAAGGTTTTTATTCTAAAAGTAACATTCTTTGATGGTTACCCTGAGTTGAAGGAAAGGGAGAGTAATTCTTTGTTAACCAGGATGATGAGGAAAGCAAGGGGAAAAAAATGTTTTTCAGCATTCTACTTCATGAATAGGTAACTGTATGTATTATTGCTTATGTTTACATTATATTCAAACCAGCCTGCTAAATTGATTTGGTCTAACATTTAATTAGCTCACCCTCTGCTCCTCGGAAACCCTATACAGGGTCACAATTGACTCGCTGGCACTTAACAACAACAACAATGTGATTGCTAGCAGTCTTGGTGTGGCGCTGTGAGTTAATGAACTGGGCTGTAAAGTTAGTTTGAACTGCAAGGTCGGCAGTTCAAGCTCACCAGCTGCTTGCTTCGCGGAAACCCTATACGAGGTCACTATGGGTCGCAACTGACTTTACGGCACTTAACAACAACACTTAACAACAACTACAAGCTCAGTGTGAACCACAAGGTCAGTGGTTCAAATTCATCAGCCATGCCTCGGAAACCCTACGCAGGATTGCTATGAGTTGATACCGATGGCACTTAAGAACAAGAAAAAATGTGATGATTGGAATGGCAGTTGCCTTGTCAGGGCCAGACCAAATGATTTCACAGGACTTATATGGCCTGTGGAATCATGGTGTGGTGTTGTGGGTTAACGCGCCAGACTGCAAAGCTGTTTGAGCTGCAAGGTCAAACTTACCAGCTACTCCTTGGAAACCCTATACAGGGTCAGAACCGACTTAACAACACTTAACAACAACAACATATGGTCTGTGGGCCAGGCGTGCCCTGCCCCTGGCCTAGGTAGGCAAGAGCCAAAATTAAGGGAGTAAACCATTTTTATTGCTGGAAGACTGTCTTAGGGTTAGTACCTTACAGTCTGTACGTTTATTGTATGTGGTGTTCTTTAAGAGTCATTCTTTCCAGGGCCTACTGGCTGAAGAGATTCAAGCGTTAACCTGTTTTTCAGGAACACAGTGTTTTGATAAGAATGATAACAAAGGGGATTATTTTCTTCATTGTTCTCTTATTGATGCTTCCAAAACATTTCACATATCTTTGTATTGATGAATTCTTTGGATAGCACGTTTTATAAATTGTAAACTCTCAAAAGGCCAAGATCCTCATCTTGTTGGTATATGTTTTGGGGAGCATTGTTCACTTCTGTATTATCATAGATATCCAGTACTACTATAACAGAAATATCACAAGTAGGTGGATTTAAAGAACAGAAATTAATTTTCTCACAGTTCTGGAGGTTGAAAGTCCAAATCAGGATCTTGGCCATGTCATTTTCTTCCCTGTAAATAGACACAGACGTTTCTTAATTTCTTGGCTTGTAGATGATCCTCACACGATCCATGTATTCCCCCTTATGTGTGTGACACTGTGATTATTCTGTTTTCTTGTAATTTAGAAGTGATTAGATTTAGAATCCACCCCACACAGGCATGATCTCAAGGGACTGATTATTTGCATTTGGTTGAATTAAAAAGATGTCTGCATTGCATTAGACTTCATTATGTTAGATGTAAGGGAATTACATTTCATTAGTGTTGGAATTGACTTGACGGCATACAACAGTATTTATGGGTATGTTGTTGTTGTTGTTAAGTGCCATTGAGTCGGTTCCAACCCATAGTGACCCTGTATAGGGTTTTCGAGGAGTGGCTGGTGAGCTTGTACCACCGACCTTGCGGTTCCAACCGACTTTGCAGTCCAGTGCATTAACCCATAGCACCACATCAGGACTCCATTTATGGGTATAGGGGCTAAGATTCCAATACAGCTCAATCTATAACACCTATAAGGATTCATGAGAGAAATTTCTCTCAGGTTGAAGCATTAGGAGAAGGAAAACTTCCATTGAGAAATGGCTTATTTTATAAGCACAGTAAAATACTTGAATTTATATTCTTCCTCTTTGCATTGGCTGCTAGGAAGCTCAGAGCCACAATTGTGACACAGTTATAAGCAGGGTCTTCTTGAAATCTCTAATTAGATGTCCCTTGGTCTTTGTATTACCACAAAATTAACTGCTTAAAACAAAATGAATTTATTACATCCTACAATTCTAGAGGTCAGTTTTACTGGGCTAGAACAAGGTGTCAGCAAGGCTACATTCCTTTCAGAAGCACTAGGGAAGCCTTTTCCAGCTTCCAGAGGCTGCCTATGTTCCTTAGCTTGTGGCCCCTTTCTCCATCTTTGAAGCCAGCAGTGTAGCATCATCACCATGCTTCCACACATGGTTCCTCTGCTTGGAACTCTTCCCTGGATTCTTCGCTAACTTTTTGTCATCCTTTTGGTCTCAGCCAAAGAGTCTTCTTCTCAGATAAACCTTTCCACACTACTTCATTTAACCAGCATCCTTCTCACCCCACCTTCTACAATTTTTCCTCACCAGCTCACCTTGATGGCACTTTTCACTTATCACTTTTCACTGATAGATGTTAACTTCATATCATTTATCTTCTCTATCAGACTGTTCATTCCCTGAGACCCTTTTTGTTTTGCCTCAGAAGTATTTGGCACTTAGTTGTTGTTGTTAAGTGTCATCCAGTTGATTCTGACTCATAGCAACCATATATAGGGTTTCCTTGGCTTTAAATCCTCATCTTTCTCCTGGTAGGCTTGAACCATGGATCATGTGGTTCGTAGTCCAGAGTTTGTTGTATGGAGCCACCATGCTTATTAAGCACTGGATAAATGAGTCCTGGAGTCCTGTTTAGGCACTGTGGGTGAAAGTACTGAACCAGAAGGTAAGTTTGTACCACAAGTTCGGTGGTTCAAACTTACTAGCTGCTCCTTGGAAACTCTATACAGGGTTTCTATGAGTCGGAACCGATTTCACAGCACTCAACAATAAGAGCAAATAGAAAACTGATTAAATGTTTGATTGCTAACCAAAAAGTTTGAATCCACCTACTAACCTTGTGGAAGAAAGACCTGGATATTTGCTTCTGTAAAGATTACAATCCAGAAAGCCCTATGGGTAGTTCTGCTCGGTCACACGGGATGACTATGAGTTGGAATTACCTCAGCAACACTCAACAGCAACAGCAACACAGCAGGCACTGAATGAATGTGTTGGAATGCATTTTATGCATTGTCCTTGCCTTGACTTTATCTTACCTCTTTGCTTTCATGTTCCCTTTGTCCTGATTTTCTTACTATCTGTTGTAATTAGAGACAAACTCATAACCCTCAGCCTCTGCTGAAGGAGGGAAAGGCTGAGCTACCTCTTCTGCTTTCCCTTACATCAGTCCTGTGTGTTCTAGGCAAGAGAAAACTTTCAACTACTGCTACCTGCCCAGGGAATGTGGAGATTTACCCTGTAAATCTTGGACTATCTAGAGGGAAAGACTTTCTGGATGGAGAATCAAAATTGCTTTACAGAATGATGTAAAAGCATTATTATTACTTGCTGGGACAGAGTTCATTTTTAGCAGGATTAAGCTGATGCTAGCTGAATTTTTCTCCCTCTGGAAAGGGCTGGTAAAACAAAACAAAACAAATCAGGGACCTTAGATTCTGAGGAGGGACAAGTTCAGAGCTCTACTGTTTGTAGGAGGAGATCAGGGACCTTAAAATTAGTCAGCTATGAACATGTGGTGGAATCCTTTAGAAGAAGCGAGATGGTCAGAGAGATCTTTAGCTCCTTTCTTTTTCCTCAAGCTCTGGCCCTTGAGTGACTGTCACACAGCCTCTTCCTGTGGTCTCTGAAACGGTCGTATGTTCTTGGCACAGTGCCTTTGACCTTCCATGCATGTGTACTTTTCTCTAGGACCTCATCATCAATATAAAGTGCTAGGGAACAGCAGAAGGATTTAAGTTCCCAACTGTATCAGGTCAGTCTGGGTGGGCATTAAGTTTGACTATTCTCTCCAGGACCTCCTTCATTGTAGGTGCCACATGCCGTGATTTATCCACAAACATGATTTGCTTGATTGTTGCAGTTTGGGCCTGGAACAATTTTAATTAATGGGAAAATGGTCCTCAATACACCGATTAGACCTCTTCAGGTACAACAAGATAAAAGCCTGATAATTTGGATGGAGTACTCTTCTTAAACGTCTACTCTAGGTACAGCAGCCAATGGGAAACTGGGCTCCCTCCCACCTGATCCAATGAGTAATTAAGAGAGGGTTTTTTCTTCCCTACCTCTCCCCTCCTTCCATGCCCCCCCCCCCCAACTAAAGCTTAACAGGTTGGTGGTATAATTTGGAGACTTGAAGGGGTGTCACGGTAGAAGCTTAGGCAAGAGGCAGGGGCACCTTCTTCCAGCTCCTCAGGTACTATACAGCTGGGATTGAATAGCAGGCAAGTGAGGGGAGGAAGGAGTTGGAAGCAGACAAGGTGGGTGACGCTTCTGAGCCCATTTTGTAAGGGGCGAGAGGGGCCAACCACCATGAGTGAGCTGGGCTCTCAGAAGGGCAGCGATGGCACGGTATCTCGCCTGCTCAACGTGGTGGAAAGTGAGCTCCAGGCAGGGAGGGAAAAAGGCGACCCTACGGAGAAGCAACTTCAGATCATCCTGGAGGATGCACCTCTCTGGCAGAGGTTCAAGGAAGCCACAAATGAAATGATCGTGACCAAGAATGGCAGGTGAGCTTATCCGTGACTCTGGTTAGACTGGTGGCAGGTCTGAGCAAGGGAAGTGAGACCCCTTGAATATTGGAGAGGCTGCATCTCTTCCCTCCGAGGTAACATGGTCTGATTAAATATGCTCATGAGAAGGATTGACTCACATCACTTTCCCCCAGCCAACTTAATTAATTTCTCTGAGATCATCAGAGAAGTAGTGGATGAAGCCACCTATTTTCTGTGCATTTTAAATGGAGAATTCAGGGAAGTTACTATATAAGTAACCATGAGCTTAGAAACTGCCCTGGACGTGTCAGGAAAAAAAATATTGATTTTGGCTGAAGCATAGCTGGAGCAGACCTGTGTCCCAGCTCTGTTCAGATGTAATGAAAGCCAACTTTATTTAGAAGCTGAACGGTTTCCTCTTAGGTACAACAAACTTACCAGAAATTTCTGACTTGCTAGAGATAAGGAGCAAAAGGGCACATTTAGTCTCATTGCCCAATGTTATATCTGCTTCCCTGTTTGTTTTCAATGAATCTTCATTTGAGATTGTGTGTGTTTGTGGTGATGTAAGAGATGTTGAAGTAATAGTTAATGAAGCCATAATATTCTGCCTTCTCATTGCAACAAATCAGGAATTAACTGAAACTGATCTTTGCTGGCATTTCTTGGATTCTGCTAAATCTAGTCTGCTAAGGGACTTTCAAGGTAATACTAGATGCTTTCCCTAGTAGGAGAGATGCAAATATTTTGAAAGAAAATCTGACTATTTGAAAGAAAATCTGACTGATTTGAAAGAAAATCAGACTAGCCTGGCTAGTCTGACTCCCAATATTCAGTTAATGCTTACTAATCTTTTGGTGCACGCACACAGCCGCAAAAGTACAAAATGGAGAAAGACATTTTCACTAGGATTAGTTTCGGCAGGATAGTAATTAAGATCTTTGAGAAATTCTGTTCTCTAATAGAGAAAAGTTGAGGCCAGCCAAACTTCTGGCAAGCTTTTGTCCTTGTACAAAATGCTTCTACTCTTGTGATTCTGTTTCTGAAGAAAACACACAATGTAGAAAATGAACCATCCCTTGTCCATCTGAGAAAACTGTGGGTCCAAGTGCAGTTGCATGACCTTTAAGTGCTTTGTAAGTGAAAGGTGAATTAGCAATAAGGGCATTCCAATAAATTATGATTATTACTAGTAGCAGAAATATCAACCTTGTATGGTACTTACATTTTCTCTAAGTGGGTCTCCTACTGATTTCACATTAAAGATTTATTACTTTTAATATTTGTAACTGTAATTACACATTTTTCTACTTTTGATCTATATTTACACATTATATTTACCCTCCCAGTAAAGCAAAAAAAAAAAAAAACAACATAAAACATGTTTTTAATTTTAAAGTATTACCACAAATTCACAACTTAATTTAGTCTTATCCTTTTAAGGATAAGTGGTTATACAGTTATAAAAATTTTATTATGTCTGATAATGTTCTTGTTTTTATGTTCTGACTCATAGTGACCCTGTATAGGGTTTCCTATGCTTTAAATCTTTGCAGGAGCAGAAAGCTTCATATTTCTCTTGCAGAGAGATGTTGTTGTTGTTGTGAAGTGCCGATGAGTCGGTTCTGACCCATAGCGACCCTGTATAGGGTTTCCAAGGAGCAGCTGGTGAGCTTGAACCACCAACCTTGCAGTTCAAAGGGCTTTGTAGTCTGATGCATTAACCCACAGTGCCACACCAGAACTCCGCAGAGAGATAGGTGGACTCAAACTGCGGTCCTTGTGGGTCACAGTCCAGTGCTTGTTGTATGGAGCCACTGTTCTCCCCTGTCTGCAAATTATTGTTAAGTGCCATAGAGTAGATTCTGACTCATAGCCGACCTTGTGGTTTGCAGTCCAGTGCTGACCCTACAGCGCTACACCAGGAGTTCAGGCATACTGTTTTCCTTATTATTCTTTGTACTTACAGGATAGTATGATAAACGCTGGACTTTGAACCACAAGGTTGGCAGTTTAAACCCACCAGCTGCTCCTCGAAAATACTATATATAGGGTTGCTATGAGTCGGAACCCACTTGACAGCACTCAACAACAACCACATAAATACTTAACTTCACACCATCTACTTAGCTGTCAATGTGACCATATTGTTGCTAAGTGCCATTGGGTCAGCTCCAACTCATAGCCACCTTTCATAGGATTTCTGAGGAATGGCTGATGAGTTTGAACCACCGATCTTGTGTTTCAAAACAATTTAGGGTCCAGTGCTTATCCTACAGCGCCACACTAGGACTCCAGTGAAGTATGAGAGTTATGTGCCATCATGTTGGTTCAGACTCCGAGATCCTGCATAAGGTTTCTGAGGCTGTAACTCTTTATGAGAACAGAAAGCCTCATCTTTCGCCCAAAGAATGACTGGTAGAGTCAACTACTAACCTTTTGGTTAACAATCCAGCTCATAATCTCTATACTACTGTCATGAAATGGTCAACCATCCAGGATCAAACAGTAAGCATTTACCTGGTGATGAGGTTCGGAGGGCTTGGGAGAGAGGGTGGAATGGAAATAGAAACCCCGGGAGGCAGTGGGACAACTGAACTTACATGGAGAGCACTGTGATCACAGAAATTGTTTCCGTTGTGATTTGTTGGTTATAAAACTGAGGATCTGCTCCATAAACCTTCACTCAATTCACAATAAAAAGTTTAAAAAAATTAACATTCTTCACATATTTATAAATAACTTAATATTAAATATGTGAAAAATATTCTTAATAGAAAAAGCTTGATTACAGTTAACTTGCTCATTCTTAATTGTCTGTAGTGTTACTGCCATTTCCAGTTCTCCAGTGAACTGAAGCCTTTTCTTAAATGTACGTGATATCTGTGAGCTTCATAGGGTCAAATCAATAAGAAATTCATGTAGCTGATAATGATTTGGCCTGATTGAAATTATTCTCAATCTCTTAGTTTCTCAGATTAAATTGTTAGCAGCACTTTATCATTCTTGATATAGAAACACCTTTCTCAGTTTGCCTCCTTCTCTTTTTCCTCATTTCCTTCCTAAACATCTATTCCTGTGTGTCTCGGCTTTACCGATTCTCTTCTGTTTATAGATCTGCTAGGCCTCCCCTCAATGCCTTGTTTCCCATCTTCATCCCATCAACTCCTAGCCTGGTACATTTAGACTGTGGCCCTTCACTGTAGGGAGCCTTATTCCATATACTTAATGCCCAGCTCTTTCCCTTTGTAGTGCCTTCGTTTTATGGATTGTAGACTTTCAGAGTAATCAAAGAGCTCCAGTAATGAGAATATGCAGGCTGTATTGCTCTGTACAACAGCAAGTTAAAAAATAGCATAGGATAGACAGATGAAAGAATTAAAAGACTTATTTTCACATAGGTACCAACTTTTAAATACAGCTGGTGCTCTGATAGAGTAGTGGTTACAAATTGGGCTGCTAACCTCAGGGTCAGCAGTTCAACACTACCAGCTGTTCCGTGGGAGAAAGATGTGGCTTTCTGCTCCCATAAAGATTTACAGCCCCGGAAAACCTGTACATGGTTGCTATGAGTTGGAACCGACTCCACGGCACATAACAACAACAATTCATATCTTCAGGAATGTGTGGGGAGCATTTCAGTGGTCATAGCAATCTCTCAAAGGTTAACTAACAAGTAGCATAAAATACTGCTTAAATATCTTTTACATTGGCTGCGAACTGCAAGGTCAGCAGTTCGAAACTACCAGCTGTTCCACGGGAGAAAGATGAGACTTTCTGTTCCTGTAAAGATCTACAGCCTGGGAAATCCTGTACAGGGTCACTATGAGTCAAAACCAACTCCACGGCACATAACAACAACAACAACAACAGGTACTATAAGTAAGCTAGAGATGATTTAATGCATATGGGAGGATGTGTGTTGGCTATATATAAACACTATGCCTTTTTATATATAGTAAGGGACTTAATTCAGTATCCAGAGATCTAGGTATACAAGAGGGTCCTGGAACCAATCCCGTGTGAATACTGAGGTAGGATGGTAGGAGGTGAGTAATAAAGTATTGCTACTAGGGTTCTAAGGAGCTCTGGTAGCATAGTGGTTACGAGTTGGGCAGCTAACTTCAAGGTCAGCAGTTCGAAACTACCGGTGGTTTCCCAGGAGAAAAATGAGGCTTTCTGCTCCCATAAAGATTTATAGACT